ATATTATACATACACTGCAAACACACATATACTATGTAAACAAACTTTTATTTTGAATGTGACAGCACTAATATAAAATCAGCATTTTAGTTTTATTTCAATTAAAACAATTACAGAACGTTTATTACGGTTATCATTATTAATAATAACATTTCTTGTTATTATTATAAAACAATTAAAAATACATTATTTTTTTCACCCTTTTTTCTTGCTTTAACAATTAACCTCACTTCGATTTAGTGATTAAACATTTCATGACTCAGACCTTTAAAGAACACAAATTTCCCATCATGCCGTTCATAGGCAGCGTCTATGTCCTCTGGAAGCCCCATCCAGAAGAAGGAGATCGGCATTGGGTTATTATCCAGAACCCGGTTCCTCCTAACCCTCCAGAACCAACGACCCTGACAAAGAATAAAAACATTAACTTAGTCATAACACTTACCACAAAGATGTGTGGAGATTTATGCCTTATCAGAAAAGTTTAACCATCTTCTTGCAGACACCAGATCCAAATGATAATCAAAAACAAACTAAACACATTGCTAGTGGTTTAGTACATATTTATATGGTTATTATATGGTGTTCTAAGTGGGCTTTTTTATGAAGAACCACTTTATACAATGGAATTGCATTTACTGCAGATCACTGTTATTAACCTTGAACACAAACATCTCCCCTCTCAGTACGGTCACTGTGTCAAAGTTCCCCTCGCAGATGTCAGGTGCATCCTGATCCGAGCGTGCTGTGGGCTGGGGTCTATGGGACCTCCTAGTGGGGTGGACCGGAGGCACCCAGGGCCTGGTGGGTTGCAGCGAGGGTCTGGTTGTTTTCGGTTGGGCCACTGTAGTGGTGGGCTCTGGCTCAGCAGTGGTTGTAAACAGGGTTGTGGTGGGAGGTACTTGACTGGTGACAGTCTCTGGAGGTCCTGTAAATACCAAACCATAATGCATTTTCACACTTAGCTAATCATTCTCTTTTCCACACATACTGCATAGACACAGAACGCGTCACTTTTCCATCCAGCACCAGAAGGCCCATGAGGCTCATTCAGCCATCAGTGGAAGACTTTCAAATGGAGAAAACAGACTCAAACAAAGACACATACGCTGAGAAATTCATTGGTGTGAGGTCAATGCAACTGGACTGAAAACTCAAGCACATAAAACAGGCAAAGTGAGGATAACAACTGTATCATAAATGTGGCAAAGCCTAAAGAAATCATCGGATAATGACTGATCTGCATTGTGAGAACTCACAGTTGCACCAGATACACATTTTGCACATTTTACAACTGCAAAAGCGTCATTTGAATAACACTGACAAAAATGAATTTGAATCAACAACTCTCACTGAAAATGGCGTTCTAAGAGTGCTGTTATTTAGTGCAATAAACCTGGGATATTTCACTGTTTGTATCACTCTGGGTTGCTTGACTGTGTTAGTGGTGGGGATTTTTTTTCGTGACTCTTTGTGCAGGTTACACCATTAAAACAGACAAGTGAAACTGAATCTTCACTCAACTGATTCATTCAGAAACAAAACAGAGTGAATCATTGAATCATACTGTTATCCGAT